AAAACATTGTATCATTGGCCTCCACAGTTACTGGATCTCAATCCAGTAGAGCACGCTTGGGATGTACTTCAAAGAGAAATTTGGATACAAGCAGCTAATAAATCTGCAGCACCTGTGTGATGCTATCATGTCAATATGTAGCAGAATCTCTGGAATTTGTCCAAGAATCTGTGTAATGAAGCTTTGGCATATTATGAAATCTCAGTCTAAAATATTGAATCAAAACTGACATTAAAGAGGCCTTGGCACAATCCTGTGTTTTAGATATGTAATATAGCATGTGACATCACCACAAGAAGTAGCACTACGAATAAGTCAGCAGGGAAGCAGCATTGCTAAGAAACGAAGACATAATTATATGGAAACTCCAACTACTTTCCAAACTAATACTATTAACAGGGTCCAGTATTGTGCTACAGACAACAAAACGTAGGTACTGTTTCATCATAGAAGACTGTATGTACGGAACCTTTAAGCTGATCTTTAGTCGTGTTAATTGAAGAATATGTGGAATGAAATTCTAATTTCCTTTCCTTTTTGTCAAACTTAATATAGTTTTATAACAACAGCTAACCAGTGAGTAAAAGTCAAAGTATAAAGCAAATAAAAATGTAACAAATCTCTCCAGCGTATCCAGCCCGTTCTCACTCCCGAGGCATAAAATGTCGACGTTTTGTCAGGTCCCGCGGCATTCCTGAGGAACGCGAAAGGAGACCTTCGCCGTTCTTATGGTACGCGGCGGGTTATGGCTGGAATCCAGTGCAATGACGCTCCCGCGGTAATAGACGTTCCAGCCCTGTATTCCAGCCCTAGGGATACCTTATCCCTAGCCCTGACCATAACCTTATTCCTGACCTTAACCAGGACTTTAATGATGTTAAATAGCGTTTTTCTAAGCGATTTGAAGAAAAAGAGTGAACATGTGTAGATTCAGTCCAGACGGTTCTCATATTTCCTCTTTTTTCCGAGGTCGTCATTTAGGAACGTGGTGGGTAGCCGAAAACGTAATATGGTGACGATTTGTCACCTAGCATAAAATGTTACGCTTTGGGACTGAGAACGTGTTGGCGTATCCTAGGTCTGCCCCGAGGCCTCTTCATGGTGGGACATGCACCTCACCCAGGAGGTGCATGCCTCTACTCTGAGCCCCTCCCAAATGTCCAAACTCCTCACACTAGCTCCAAGAGAAAGGACAGCCACCCTTCAGAGAAAGCTCCTTTTCACCACTTGTATCAGCAATGTCATTCTTTCAGTCACTACCCAAAGCTTGTGACCATAAGTGAGGGTGGTTGATCTGATAACCTCGTGTTGGTGTTGTTCCCAGATCATCATACTAAATGTTGTTCCAGGTTCAACATTGCAAGTGACCAATCAGAATGTTGTAACGTCATACTTTTGCGACTTCGGGAAAAACCGGCGTAAAACAAAAAACTGTACTTAAGCTGCGTGAAACCGCCTCTGTCCGCCGATCAACGGACCCTGACCCTAACCCTAACCGTAACCCTTTAATAAACGGTAAGCAGAATTGATATTGTCCTTGCAACATTGGAATTTCATAAATGCACGAATGGCTTGGCGCGCAAAGGAATAACGTCACAACAATGTGATTGGTCACTTGCATTGTTGAACCTGGAACAACATTTTCATGATGGTCTGGGAACAACACCAACACGAGGATATCAGATCATCCAAGTGAGGGTATGGATGTTGATCGATTGGTAAACACATCACCACCTCTTTTCATCACTGCCCTGGAAAACCGCCTTAAGACGCCAACAGAACCACATCATCAGCACAAAGCAGAGACAGGATTTCTGAGACCGCCCATGTGGAAGCCTTCTGCTACTTGGCTACACTTATAAATTCTGTCCATAAAAAGTATGAACAGAATTGGTGACAAAGGGCAGCCGTGGCCCACCGGGAACAAATCTGACTCATACCGGCTATGTGGACTAAGCTCTTGCAATGGTTCTATAAGGATCAAATGGCCGATACTCTAGAAGCACCTCCCATGGAATACTCAGATGGACACAGTCAAATGCCTTCTTCAAGTCCACAAAGTACATGCAGACTGGTTAAGCAAATTCCCATGTACCCTCAAGCGGGTAAAGAACTGGTCCAGTGTTTCATAACCGGGACAAAAAACCACATTGTTCCTCATGTATCTGAGGTTTGACTAAAGGAGAGACTCTACTTTGCAGCACCCTGGCATAGACTTTCCCTGGGAGGCTGAGGGGTGTGATCCTTCTATAGTTGGAGCACATGCATTTGACGCATAGTAGTGCTGCCACAACCGATTATTTTGATCGTCGACTAGTCACTGATTAGTTTTGCGATTAGTCGACTAATCAGATCATGTGTCCATTGGACGTAAAACGTACAGCTTATTGCACCAGCAGCATCTGCTCTTATATAACTATCATTAGCTTACAGCTTTAAGTGTTTAAGGTATGAGCTAACTAAAAATAAAGACAAGATGACAGTTTATTAAATTTTAATGAGATTTGCAGATTGTTTTGGGGGAGTTTAATAAACTCAGCCATCTGCTCCTTGCTATCTAAAATATAACAGGACACCGGAGTAAATTCTCGAGCATCTCACACTTCTGATAAACAGCTGTCTGCTTGACGTTTATTCAGCTGTGTAAAAACTATAACTTTAATCTCAGCCAAACCGATTTACTCGGGAACAAATAAAATACTGTGGGTTTAAAAAACGATTTGCCGGGAGTCCGGTGTTCTCACCGGCTCTAGTGAGCCTTGAACCGAGGCTAACTATCGAGCTAGTGGGTAACAGACATTTCCGAAAACGGAGCACTTTTGAAAATATGTGTCTTAAACTGAGCAGATATTGGAGATTTACACAGTTACATTCTCGCCTGAAAATATGTTAAACATTTATTTTGTGACCCAGAAAGAGTAATAAGAGTAAAATAAAACTAATTGTCGCCATTGTTGGAAACTGAGCAGGGCCACGCTGGGCCGCGCTATGAATTCTGGGATAGGTTGGGCCACTAACCGACCCATCCTTCAACTCTGGGGAAATGAAGGGCGCATTTGTTGGAGTCTTCGAATTTGGACAGTCTTCGTCGTGTCGCTGTAACGTAATCGGCCTACTAATGCGGGCACAGGAGGATGCGGCTCCTGAATTTGGACACAACTACAAAACTGGACACAGCTTCCTCTTCTTCTTCGGGGTTTAACGGCAGCTGGCATCTTTGTATATGCAGTGCTGCCATCTTCTGTTTCAGTCCATTATTACACTCTTAAATCCTACTACTTATTCTTGCGCTGTTTGGGATCTTATAAAGCTTCAAACGACGCATCGACTATTAAATTAGTCGTCGACGATTTTGATAGTCGACGTAATTGTGACTAGTCGACTAATCATGATAGCCCTAGCGCATAAACACAGACAACAGTAATGAGCCGTTCCCCGACCCGAAGGTGCAGAGAAAAAACCCTCTCGTCCATCGGGGAAAACTCTAATGTATAGGCAGCAAGCTGAGGAGATACCCACCCCCAGCCCGCTGTCTCTCACCTCAGGCAACTCTAACCAAACTATATCTAGCTGGTACCGCTTGACCTCAAGTACTAGCTCAGGCTCCTTTCCCATCAGAGAGGTGATGTTCCATGCCTCAGTAGCTGATTTTGTAACCCTATCCCAGGCCGAGTGAACTATTCCCTGGATTTTCTTCTCTTAGGGTTTTTTTAAAATCACTCTTTGTCTGGTCCCTCACCCAGGACCAATTTACCATGGGAGACTCTACCGACAAGATAGCCTCTTGGATCCCTGGGACACACAAACTCCTCTATCATGATAAGGTAGTGATTCACAAGGGGGCCATAAAATTATACATCTAAAGCTGAAGATGGAGCCAATTTATATATATAATTATATAATTTATATATGTTAGTACATCATTATTACATTTGCTATTATATCAGTATGGCGCAGAATCTCCGAGGAATGTTTCTTGCACCTTGTTGAATCTAGAACAGTGGTTCTTAACCTTGTTGGAGGTACCAAACCCAACCAGTTTCATATGCGCATTCACTGAATCCCTCTTTAGTGCAAAATAAAATGGGATTTTTTTCAAATTCAAGACATACATATGTTTTTTACTGGTGCACAAAATGAGCCGTGCATATCACGACTGAGGCTCTGCCGAACCCCTGAGACCGACTCACCGAACCCCTAGGGTTCGATATAACCCAGGTTAAGAACCACTGATCTAGAAGAAGAAGATGCCCACCACTTCTTCCGTTGTCCTCCACTTGTCCATTTTTCTCAGATTTTTTTGAAGAACAAACTGTGCACCATTTTGAGATGCCAAGTTTTCAGCTTGAATATAATTGTGAAAAATCCTGTTTTATGTTTGTCTAACTGTGTTATCTGTGATATTTTATGTAGTCAGGCAAAGAAATGGGAACAGATGACATGCTTAAAGAAAAATAATTTAAAGTTGGTTCTTGACTAAGATGTGAATACAAAACAGTTAGTTGCCTTTGTTATGCTTGGATGATTCATAGATCAGTGTAAAGCGCCAAAAGAAACAAAACAAATTAAAAAATATTCCGCTGAAAATTGCCAGATACAAGAACTGGAGTGAAAATCAAGGGAAAAGCAGCCAATGTTCAAATAAAACTTGACTTGCTGTGTATTTGAATGTGATATATTAATGTGCAAGCTTTTCTTACCTGAATACACTGTCTATCACTGGGGTAAAGTACAATATGAACCTTCTTCAGGTGCTTGGGTTTTCTCTTTTTGCTAAACTCTAAGATTTTATCCAACATCAAAGAAGCTACGACAGCTGTTGGGAAACACAGCTCTCCAGTGCCAATTGCAGGCAAGGATATGGAGGTTAGATTATTATTCTCTGCCTTGTCCAAACAATCCATAAAGATTCCTTGCAAACACTGTAAGGCAACAAATAAATACTATTTAATAATAATAATGAAAGTAATAAATATAATGACATTTAGTTTCAGTAATATTCATATGTCATCAATTTTAGACTGTAGAGATTATTTAAAATATATTATTTATGATGAAATACATTACCTCTTCAGATGTGCCTTGTCCATTATCCCAGTGAGGTGCAACTGTGTGAAAAACCTTTTTGTTCTTTAGCTGGCAGCCCTCAGTAATAATGATCTCACCAACATTTCCAGCAGCACCCTGTGCATTTATTGACTGCTGAAGTTTGGGTCCAGCTGCACGCAAGATGGCTTTTGAAACTGCACCACTGTTCAGGTTGAGGTTTGGAGGCACACTGTTCACAATCACCTCTGTCTAAAAGTTTATGAAAGTGAACATAACTATTATAAACAATAAAACAAAAAACAATAATAAAAGAAACCGTCAAACCCTTCACTATTAAAGATAATTTATAACTAGAGGATAGGGTGATTAGTTAATCTACATGTGTACTCTTGTAGTCTGGCATCTTGTGTGAGTAAAAAATCTGGCATAAAGTAACTACGTGCTCTGGATTAAGTATAATAAGAATCCAAATTACCATGGTAGCCTCTATATTTCCCTTTGTAAGAAGGATGTCCAGACCCTCTTTGGACTGTATATGATACAAGTACTGGTCAGATCCAGTAGGCTGCAGAACTGGCCTATCGACCAGTTGAACCAGGCAACCAGTTTTAGTTTTGATTGAGGAAACATACAGCGCTTCATTTTCCTGGAAGAGCTTCTTCACTCCAGACTTGAAGACATTCAGACTTTCAAAGACTACAGCAGAGACGGCACCTTCAACCACAGTCTTGCAATGTGTCACATTCACTCTGGATCCACTCAGACAGATGGCCTCATTTCTGTAAGACACTCTCACCTTGTCTTTCACTTTCTCCATCCAAGATGTGTTGAAATGTTTCAAGTATTCAACGACAGCATTAGCTTTGACCACAACAGTTTCTTCTATGTGAGCGTTCTGTGTTAAGAAGTCACCAAGCCGATGCTGAACCTTTATGGCACTATCCTTGTAGCCTGACACCACGACTTGTTGAGCAGTTGTGTTGATTCGAGTTCTGCATGGCTTACTGTTAGCCTGCTCTAAGTGACTGACCAGCTGCTGCCACTCTGGCTTCTTCAGGACATTACTGTCTTCAACATTAATGTACTGAGTTGTTAACATCTGTCCTAGATGGTCCTGAGCATGAGACAGATCTGTGTCAGACACAGCAAGGAGCTGCACCCTGTTCCCACTGATTTCAAACGCTGCGTTTATTTGATGAGATGTGAGGAGAGCACCTGTAAGCTCCTCTTGTTGCTCATCCTTCAACAGTTCAAGCACATATTTATCTACTTCCAGATTCTGTCGTTTTAATGCAAGTACTGCATCAAATATAACTTTGCTTGCTGCATTAATCTCTTCCCCCAAACCAGTTATTTTCAGATTAGGACTCTCTGGTGCCAATTTGAGTTCTGGATACACAAGTAGAAGTTTGTCCATGTGGCCATCCTGACACAGGAGATGAAAAACTGATGGTGACACTTTGATCTCTTCGGTTTTACTTGATTTGTCCCTGTGGATCGTTTTTGCAATCTTGTTAATAGTTTCAGAAAGAGATTTCTCCAGTCTGTTGACATCACTAACAGGACCAGCCACTGATAAAGCACCTCTGTCTTTATCAGGTACTACAATCACATTTTCATTCAGTAACATCTCTCTGATCATTTTCTCAGACTCTTTCCATGCATCTGAATCTGGACAGAACTTCACAGATTTGAACTTTGACACAGATTTTGCAAACTCTGACTTCACAGTATCAGTCCACTCTTTGAGGATGGCTTTGGCATTCTTTTGCTTTAGTAAAGAAGATACAGGACTCAAAGTCACAGTAGTTTGGCCGAGGTTCACGATGCAGAAATGTTTTTCCATTTCACTGCAAATGGCCTCTGCTGCTGATTTATTTTGAGCTAGGTATCTGAGGACAGCACTGTCAATGGGCTCTGAGATGGCAGCGGGAAGTTTTATTGACGGCTTGCACTTAAATGACCTTCTTAAACATTTTAAAAAAGAAAACCGATTAACTCTGGCCTCGTCATTCTTTATGGAATTCTTCATCTTTATGTTTTTAACAGCTGTAATGAAAGAAATACAAACATGTAAAACAATTTAGATATGTAAGACCTTTTGTTTCTATTTACCCAGCTCAACAGCATGCATCAGCTATCACTAACAATTGCAATGTCAGGCCACAATTTCTGTGAAACGATGACAACATACTCTAACCTGATAAAACAGAGGGTTAGACAAATGAATAGAACTGACAAATTCATATTTTAGACAAAAGTTCGTATTTGAGTTGAGGAGTGATTCCTCGATTCAAAATTACAGCAGGAAAATGTTTCATGTACCCAGACATGCTTAATCAGAGAAAAAACACCTTAAATACCAGTTAGAGATTTGTAGAAGTTTTTGACAAACACATGGTTGTAAAAAAATATTATGTAGAAACTAAATACCTTCATTACATATATAGCATCCACGGCATAAGATTGAGGTGTGGTTTTTATTCAGTACTTACATTTCGTGTTGTCTTTATCCAATGGGAATTCCTGTGTGGAACAAAAAATATATAAATGTATTCACCATTTTTTTATTATACTGAAATCTTGTGTGACCAGACTATAAATAGCTGTTGGTCTTTAAAGAAATATAATGGAAAAAATATTTAATTATACTTAATTTGTGTAAAGCAAAATAAAACAAAAGACACAGTAATGGTTTTTTTTGTTTGCAATATTCCTATAGCAGAAAGAGAGAACAGCTTTGAGTTCACGGTAAGTCATGTGACCTTTAGAACCGGATAAACAGCTCAAAACCGAGACACAGATCGTTGTTTACTATAAACTAATCCTAAGTTCGAAGTCTGGGGAGGAGGTTCAACAACTTCCACCCACAAATAGTGTAACATTACTATATTTTACTTTAGCATATTTATATTGGCAAGGGCATACAAAACTATTCTTGGTATGCAGATCTCCCTTGACTACACCGGCCTATCATAAATAATACCTGTGATGATTTCGCTTCAGTGGATAAATGAACCGTCAGCTTCAAAACGCCCTTTTCCAAGCTGATCTGATGAGACTCTTTCGCCAGAACATTCCTCTGATCTGTGACACGAGAGAGAGAAAAAATCTGCAGTAAAGAACTCCACTGATAATACGGCGTAGAAGCTATTATTAGTAGTAGTATTTTCAGTTTACTTCATGGAGCCAAACTTACCCTCCTCTCTCGTGAAGTGCAGTATCGCTGTCCTGCTGCCATTTTCATACTCAATCTCACAGTCGCCACCGACAGTACGAAAGTACTGCAGTAACTTTGTTTCTAAACTGGGTATGTTGGTTTCTACGAATCCAACGAGCAGAGGATATGAGTGTGCCTCGGCCATCGTTAGAGGCCGGGAAGACGCACAAAGAAGAATAAAGTCTTTCACTTTCTGCTTCACTTGTAGTAGAATACTTGTAGGACTGGTTCCTCCCATGGTGGAAACTAAAAAAAAACAAACTCTGCGAGTATCAGTGTTAGACAGGTTGAAATGCATTTAACAAACAAACAAACAAACAAACAAACAAACAAACAAAACTATTTTAATGTTTAACATACTGTTTATATTGGCGGTATTATTAGAAAAATTAACTTGCCCATTTATGAAAAAAAAAAAAACAACAAACAAAACTTTGACTAGACAGACGAGCAAATTTCTCAAAATGTTGGGAAAAAACTGAAAAGAAAAGAAAAAAAAATAAACATTTGAGAAAAACACATTGCAGATTCAAGATGCAGCATGTTTACGAGGAAAAACTGAAATCATCAACAACGACTGCAAAAAATATGCAACAAATATGCTTCCACAACCTGAAGACAATGTGATTGGTGTTGCTGCTGCCTTCCGTTGTCTAGTATTGACATAATTTAAAAATTGGAAATTTAAAGCTTGTTTGTTTACTGTACATTTTATACATATCTCCGTACAATGTTTTTCAAATTTTCTATACATATATTGTACATTGTTACCTGGATATACCTGTATGTCTGTATGTTTATAGGACCACCCACCTTTTATATTTTATTTTCCCTTGCTGTAAGAGCTCTGTAACACCGAAATTTCTCATCCGTGAGATAATAAAGGTTTATTCTATTCTAAATGTGCCCTTTTTATTAGCTATTCCACTAAAAGACAAACGTTTTTTTCCTTTTTCCAAGAGAAGTTCAAACTATGCACAGTTAACATAAGATGACCATTTCTCTTATCTCTAAAACATAGCTCGAGCCCTACAGGGTCACTTCCACCTGCTCACTATAGATAACAATGGCATTTGCGATCATCGTGATACATGATGGAGCCATAGTCAACTTTCAGTCTGTCCTTCAGAAATTGCAAACAATAAGGAGCTCAGAGCCGAATGTAATCCCACCCCCACCTTAAACCTGTCACACCTACCACACCTCTCCACTATCTTGCTGTCCTCATGCATATCCTGCCTCATTCTCACATGCAGTACCTCAGTTACTCTCTAGGCACCCTATTGTTTGTTTTTTGTTTGTTTGTTTTTATGCTTTTTTTCACATCCACATAGAGACAAAGGAACTCTTTCTGACTTTCTCAATATTTCTCCATCCGCACGTTCGCAGTAAACATCACATCTGTAGTGCTTATTGTCAGCATGAAGTCATACTGCTGCTAAAATAAACATAAAATCATTAAATGGCTGTTGACAATATCTCCAGTCACGTCTAAACATAGAATACAGTCTATCAGAGCAAGAAGGATGAGCCACAACCGAGGAGCTGGAGGTATCTGGGAGCTCCAAATTGTTTGCTTAATATATAAATCTCATGCACATTTTTCTGAATTTGGGCACAGAAGCCAAAGGAGAAAAGGGATGTTTCAGGAAGAGGGTGAACTGAGGGGGCTGCAGTAAACCCTCTATTTAAGGATTATTTTGAACTCTGAATTATGCAAAGCCACTCGAGTACAGTCCAGGAATAAAAATATGGAGCTATACGTAATATCAAGTTATGATTTATAATCTCCCTTGTTGGCTGCATCACTTAAATGTAATCAGCCTGAGTGTCATGGAAGACAACAAACATGGTGGGATTGGGGGTTTTGTCCACAACACTGTCGTACAGATCAGTGGAGGTTGTCCAAGTAGGAGTCCCCAGCCAGAACTCGGCAGACGTACATAAACTTCTCTCCATTTGGATTTGGCTTGCAGTAGCTGTCACGAGCAGAGTAGCTTGCATTGACAGCAAAATATGTGCCATTGCCATAAAATTGACAACCATGTCAATAATTTTCTGGTGATCTGCATCAGAGAAACTACGGATGGTGCTTTTTTTGCAGTTATATACGTCCCCGCTAAGTCACCTGGTGAAACAGAAGAAAATAACAGCATATTTGGATGATTTCCAGCAGTGGCAAGTAGAGATGGCACGATACCACTTTTTTATGTCCGATACCGATACCGATATCATAAATTTGGATATCTGCCGATACCGATATGAATCCGATATAGTGTTTTTTAATCAACAAAACTGTTTTTTAAATATCTTGCTGCATTTTGTATAAGTTCATACTCAAGTTTAAAACAACAACTACACTAAAGCTATTCTGTTATACCTGTATGCAAAAAAAAATATTTCATAGTTCAGCAATACTGATCAATCTAATAAACTCAAACCTGCACCATCCTCCCTATTCTGGTATTTTAAAGAGTACTTAGCATAAATATTAAGCAACCTAACTAATAGGGTTCCAACTCCCAGCAACAAAAATAAATAAATAAAAATAGGGAACCACCCCTCACGCTCCACCTCATGATGCTTAATCGACGTAATCAACCTTAATTTGATGCAGTGTGAAAAAAAATGCACAGAAATCAATTATTTTTCAAGAAATATTAAATAGATTCAACATCTTTCTTCAACAAAATTGCAGACTGCACAGATGGTACCTTCCCAAAGGAAAAAGTACTATAGCTTACTAGGGTATATATATTAGACTTAATAGTTACTATATACAGTAATTGACTTCTATTCATTTTACATCAAATTAAAACTTTGGGTGTCAGATAATTATTTATTAAAAGCTCGACATTTTAAATGAGAATAAGAAAGAAAAGTATGTCTTTGTGCCCCCTTTTCCCTGTTAATGCCCTATCGGCCCCCCTGGCTAAACTTTGCTAGATCCGCCCCTGCACAGTTACCAGCGTCAGCTACGTAGAAAAAGATCCTCGAGTAGAAAGTAATATTAAATAAATTCTAACAACAGCTGATCAAGCTTAAACGTGCTGCTGTTGTTCAGCCGCTGGTTTCCTCTTTCTGGTGCAAAGTGGGCCAAAAGCAAACTAGAGACACGGACTGCGACAGAAAAGCCGATCAGCTGATCGTTAAGCAGTTTCACCATTGAAGTAGCAGCAGGAGAGGCAGTCGCTTGTTAAGCTTAATGCAGGAATGCTTTACAAACATTCAGAGATGGACTTACACACTTGCTTTACTTCTCTCGGGGATAACTTTGTCGGAGATGAAATGCCGGGTTGCTAGCAAAGCTCCAAATGCTATCCAGACCACCGACAGGTCCCGCATGCCACAGCTGCTCTATCACGTGATGCATACTGCTCCGACGTGCTAACGTTCTGAGGCGAGTTACAGCGTGTTGCAAGTTTTGTGAGGTGCTTTCGTGATATTTAATGGATCGGATTACATTTTTTATTTTTCTCCGATATCCGATCCAGTAATTTAGGTCAGTATCGGACCGATACCGATACGTAATATCGGATCGGTCCATCTCTAGTGGCAAGAACATAATCATCCTTTACGGAAATATCCAGAATTAGTCTAGAAAAGATTGCAATTGCAAAAATACAGTTCTCTTAAATTTTAGACATAAACCAACAAATGAATTCTTGAGCCAATCCTTATTTCTCTCCTTCTTCCCTTGGGGGTGATTTTTTTTTTTTTTAAAACACTTGCTGGTGTCACAATGTGCCTCAGTGGTCAACAACAGCACAACAGAACTCACTCATGGTACAGCACACTCTCTACAAAACAACAACTGTCAGTGACTCTGCACCACAGTGTAAACACAACATTCAAGATAACAGTTAAAAGTAACATAACCATAAACAATAAAACAAGAACATCTAAACAGCAGCATATGTCCCAAGGCATGATGGGAGAGAACTAGCTGCTCCCCCAACACGCCACAGTATGAATGGACTTATTAGTTTTTTTTTTTTTAATTCAATGAAAGCAAGACTGAGGTTATTGTTTTCAGAACTAGTGGTGCGTGTGCTGCTCTTCTCTTGGACCGGGGGACTCTACAGCCCTGCGTTAAACCAACAGTGACTAACCCCCGTGTCAGTTAATCCAAAATGCTGTGGCTAGTCTTTTAACCAGGGCCAGATCCCTCCACTGGTTCCCTGTTTGTTTTAGGATCCATTTTAAGATTTCATTTCTTTTAAAAACATTTAATGGATCAAGAAAACCATAAATATCTGAGCTAAGGTCTATTGATCAGCTGCTTCTAGTGGTCCCTAAGCCCCAGCTGAAATCCAGGGGCCAAATGTGGAAAGATCTTCCTGCCCATGGTAGGATGGCCTCCTCACACCCGTTTTTAAACCACATCTTAATACTCATTTTTATTCCTTGGCTTTTAACTCAGAATGAGTGTGATACAATCTGATGTGATGTTATTATTGTTGTTGACATGTTTATATTGTTATATCTGTTGTGTGCTGCTGCTTTTTACAGTACTCTGTTAAACTTGTTTATTAAAAAAAAAATGTATTCAGAAATAAAATTGGATTGGACACTAAAAAATGACACAATTTAAAAAACAAACCCAAAAGTCTTCCATGACCTCACTCTATGATAAGAAAGAATTTTGAGAAAATATCTGAATTTTTTTTTTAAACACAAACTAACTGCAAGGAAATGCAATAAACTAGATTATAAATTGTATTTAGGTACACACACACTCTTCTAATGTGAGTATGTGAGTGTGTCAAGAAAGAGCACAACATGTCATAGATTTGAGAAAAACAACTGACCCCAAGATAACAAAATGATTTTATTTGGCTGAAAACTGCCAGGTTAGGGCTGTGTGCAGGCAGGAGTCGTGGTAAGGAGGACCCAAAGTGCAGACGCTCGGAGGCAAAAGTGTATTTCAAAACTCAGCTTTTATTGCTGGCAAATGTGACAAAAACCCAAAAAACACAAATAAATTTACATGCGCAAGCAGGCAGAACACACATCCTAAATGAGGGTAGACCACAACACAGCGAAACACAGGGCTTAAATACACAGAGGGAGCAATCAGGGAATGGGTAACAGGAGGGAAACACAGCTGGGGCAAATCAGGCCTAACGAGACAAAGGAAGCAAA